ACTCAAAGTACACAAATTGATCTAATCTAATTAATTTACAGCAAAATAAAAAAATATGTAAATGACGGATAATGAAATCTCGATTATCACTTTATCATGCGAGAGTATAAAATGTTCGGTGACACCCGAACTTAGCCCTTCCGTACTTGTTTTATCCTTTTTTATACATATGTATAGCCACACAAGCTCCATTGGTATCCGACCAAAGAGATTTTTACTTTAACGCTTTATAATCTTAAGATCCCAATGTAAACACTTTTGAAGTAAAAGAAAACATTTTGTTATACAAGCAAAAAGTTTGTATTTCCGGAGTGGGTGCCAAAGAGTAAGTGGTAAAATATCTATGGTCCTTCGAGCCATTCTGAATTGCACAATCATGAAAAACTTAAAAGGTTTTAACTCAAAATATAAAAACCAAAAAGTTAAAATATTAAAGGGAAAATATGGTGACAAAAAATATATAAATAATATGGGAGAGCGCAAGTGTGAAAACATATAAACCTAAGTGCAGTGAAACAGAAAATGCATACAAATATGTATACAGTGCACGAAAATTGGAAATGAGAAGAGTGGAAAAGAATATATGTGTACCGAAGCTAAATACCCACAGTTGCATTTCTGTTAGTAACTATGTGTTCAGTTTGTATGGAAGCTATATGCTATAGTAATCTGTTCTGAAATTTTTTTTCGGACATTATGTAAAAATCAAATGTAAAAGTTATCTATACAAGAACTTGATTCCGATCTTTCAGTTTGTATGGCAGCTATATGCTATAGTTAACCGATCTGAACAATTTCTTCGGAGATAACATTATTGTCTTAGAAAATAATCTATTCCAAATTTCGTGAATATATCTTGTCAAATGTGAAAGTTTTCCTTACAAGAACTTGATTCCGATCATTCATTTTGTATGGCGGCTATATGCTATAGTGGTCTGATATCGGCAGTTCCGACAAATGAGCAGCTTTTTGAAGAGAAAATGACGTTTGCAAAATTTCAAAATGATATCTTAAAAACTGAGGGACTAGTTCATATATACAGAAAGACAGACAGACGGACAGACAGTCGGACATGGCTAAATCGACTCAGCTCGACATACTGATCATGTATATATGTATATACTTTATAGGGTCTCCGACCCTTCCTTCTGTGTGTTACAAACTTCGTGACAAACTTAATAAACTAAATATATACATACATACATACATACACTTCTGCTTGCACAATTAAGCCACATAAACGTTATGGTATACAAATTCATAAAAGTTGACTTTTATTGATAAATAAAAAACAGGAGCACAAATTTAAAAGGAATTTCTTAAGCTTTATTGTATTCATAGTTTTAAAGCTAAATTGTTGGTTGTTAACTCGGCTATAATCGCGTAAGCGGTGACTACGCCAATCAAGAAGAAGAAGGTTTAAAGGGGAACTTGAGACCCACTATCTAATAAAGTACGCGTCTTTACAATTCTTCCATCATGGCCTTTTATATTCGCAATCACTTTTTAATCTATCATTTTTGGTATTTTTAATGATTGTGCTTTTCGCTTTAGAAGTTTTAACTTTGTGGACTTTACATTCCTTTATATTGTGCCCTGTTTTAAGACATTTGGTGCATAATTGCATCAATTGCATTCCCTTCATGATTCAAAAACGACTGTATTGAATTTAAGGTAGGTATTTCCTTAGCCTTTTTAAGGGAGTTTTCTTACCTAAGTCTTAAATTGTTGTCTAATTTTCGCACAAGCGTATAATTTAAGAAGGCTTGTAATAAATTATCTGCAGACAAGCTGAGACTTTGCAATGCTTGTGTACATTCAGAAATTTTTTCTTGAAGTTTTCGTACACTAAAAGCAGTCTCATCACTGCTGGTGCATCCAAATTTTGTTTGAAAAAAGTATTTGCCAGTTTAATTCGCAGTCTTCAATATATATTTTTTTATTATTCTGTTAATAAGGCATTCTATTTTCCTGGAAGCACTATTTTCATGAATTATAGCGATCAATTCGCTTAACTTTGTGTACGCTGTCAAATAAAGCATACCCACCGTCCCTTCCACGTCATTTTTAAAATAATTAACTTCTTTGTTTTTGGGATATTTGGACAATTCTAAATTGTTGCGTTGAAACTCTGACCATTTTTTATCCAAACTATCTTGGAGTTTTCCATATACCCTAAATATTCATTTATATCCATACTCATGGTCTTAGAATGAAGTTTTTGCAGTTCTTCTACTAATTTAATTTGGTTCACCATTTTCCGAAAAACAAAATTAATAATTTTATATGAATTAAATAAAAAAATTAAAAATGTTCTTACCTTGGTAGAATGTGGTGTGGCTGTAAATTTGGATATAAATTTTTTTTAATTCACTTCGTTTTGGTTGTTTTTTATTTTTGTAAACACTCTTTTTATTTTCACAGCACTCCCGTGTTTCAAAACTACGGGGTCACCAAAATTCTTAAATAATTACGCGAAGAGTTCGGTTATAAAACTGTACTCATCTCTGGTTGCCCAGAGCTCCTTTATTTATAGATTTTCTTATTCTAACTCATGTATGCACCACATGCAGAGTACATATACATATCTTAATCCTAATCTACTGTACATACCGACAGTATGTACACATATCTTAAGCATAAGTGTTCTCAACGGAATACACAACTATTTCTTATCTATTATTAGCATAATTTGCGATCCTGTTGGTTGCATGCATTAAATATGAAGCACGTATGCATTTATATGCAGTACGTGTGCACTCAACAGTTAACAAACAAACATATTTACTTAAGATAACATATTGACCTAAGATATGCATTTAGGCAATTGAATACAAATGTGCATGTGCTCTTGAAAACAATCCCATACCTTGTAGCATAAACAATACCGGAAATGAACATTTATTACACTGTTGATTGAAATATTTGTACATACATATTTATATTTACGACTGTATTTTTATGTGTTAGCGATAATGCATATAATATTTGAAATATGATATCCGTCTCTATACAGATTTACAAGAATATCTCATTTACAAATGTAGCCGTTAAGAACTGTTCAGAAATCTAAACAACCCTCGTCCTGGAAGCAGGCGAACCTTTTCGATCATGACTTGCGCGTAATCAATATCAGCGGACGTTTTACGTTTCTCTTCGGTGCTGAGCAACATATATAAAAAATTGTTTTTTCGAGTGTCCTTTTCTTATACTTTTTATACTTATCATACAACATCCATTGGTATCCGACCAGGGAATCCATCAATTTTCACATTTGTTCATACATACAATGTCACTCATACAAATCAAGATTTCTTTCATGATGGTGGATACAAAATAAAATATCTTCTATCATATAAATTTTACATTTATATAATGGAAAATAACATTCGTATTTGTTGTGGATGAGCTGAAATAAATGCATCTTTAAGTGTGTCCCAATGTGCATTATCCTCCAACAAATGCAAGAGTTCTCATACTTAACGATATGTTTGACATAAGTGGCCGTTAACTGTTCTCAATTCTTGAAATGATTCTGGGACATTAACGTTAACTAATAACAATCGCAAATGTAAACACTTAGCATTGTTTGGATGTACTGTATATATTCTGCCAATTGGCTCTGTTTGGAAAATGCCAGGATGGCCATCGACTGCTTCTCCTTGTTTTCGTCTTTGAAATTTGTTCGAAGACACATTCCATGTGTAATACTAAGACACTTTAGAATATAACAAATTCATTGCAAATTTATCAGTTTGGCATAATTTGAAAAGTGGTCAAAGTAGTCGCTGGTGGTTGTGCTGCCAATACATTTGCTTCATTAAAATAAACAAGTTAGCCATTTTTAAGATGCACAGCCAAAAGAACAACCACAGGGTGTTTTTCGCTTCTCAACTTCATTAGTACTAATATAGTGTCCCACTTGACACTGAATAATTTCATCATTTCTACTACCACCATCAACACCGAAAACAACCATATCCCTCCTTTTACTTATATACTTGCAAATGGACTTGGATTTGACTAAATTACAATACTCCATATTATTGTACATGAGCATTGAATATTTTTGATAATAACGGACAATACGCAACAACCGAACGATTATCAACTTCGACGTCTTGGTTATGTAAATAGATTGTTGCCGTTTTGCCATTATCATTATGTGATCTACGTCGATACAATGGATATCCCTCATTTGAGGTTATTTTATCTGAAGTTAATTGCCTTAGGTATTGTTTCAACACTTTGATCAGGAATTTCACTCCGTTGAACGACCAAGAGGAGAAGGAGCGTATGGAATCTCCACCCCACGTAGCGAAAAGAAGAAACGACTGGCGCATTGTTGTTAACTCGGCTATGATCGCGTAAGCGGTGTCTACGCCAGTAAAGGAGAGCCAATTTAATATATTATATATATGTATGTTAGTGAGTTACATATACAAATAACATAACCAAACTACAAACAGTAAAGATGATAAATTTGCTGTGTTTTTTAATGAAATAAATAGAACAACCGTAAATCAATAAAATTGTAATATGATAACATTTCCTTTTCTATTGCAAAAATCAACTTAAATGATACAAAAGAAAATCACTTTGTTTGCAATATTTCCGAGAATCTGAATAAACTATTAAGTTATGAGGTTATTACCTTAATCAGCATTTAAGTAAATATGATTTATAAGCAATAATTCATTGCCATATTAACTCCAATGATTACAATTAGTAAAGTGAAAGTTTAGTTTGATTCCAATATCCAAACCACCGGGTTTAATCTTTAGGGTTAATTCGGTATTAACTTGTTTAAAAACGCTTGAACGCGACTTCGAAAATTCGTGTGGTAATCCCCTTTGTTGCCATTGAATGGAGTACATATGGCAACGAATCTCTCCCAATCCAGATAATTTAACAATTAAATAGATAAGTACTTCAAATTTTTGCCGAAAAACGGGTGCTGAAATGTCATGACCATCAGTTGTCAATTATATTTTAAATCATAAGCAAATGCTCGAAATTCTTGTAAGAATCATTTGAAAATTTAATTTCTTCAAAAAAAAAAACAGAAAAACAAAAAAAAACAGTAAAAACAATTAAGGAAGGGCTAAGTTCGGGTGTCACCGAACATTTTATACTCTCGCATGATAAAGTTATAATCGAGATTTCAGGCTCTCGCATGATAAAGTTATTATCGAGATTTCAGGCGTGGTTGTGAACCGATTTCACCCATATTTCGTACACGTCATCAGGGTATCAAGAAAATACTATATACCGAACTTCCTTGAAATCGGTTGAGAACTTCCTGAGATATGGTTTTTGGTCCATAAGTGGGCGACGCCAAGCCCATTTTCAATTTTTAAAATAAAGCCTGGATGCAGCGTCCTCTGACATTTCTTCCGTAAAATTTAATGTTTCTGACGTTTTTTGTTAGTCGGTTAATGCACTTTTAGTGATTTCCAACATAACCTTTATATGGGAGGTGGGCGTGGTTATTATCCGATTTCTTCCATTTTTGAACTGTATATGGAAATGCCTAAAAGAAACGACTCTATACAGGTTGGTTGACATAGCTATAGTAGTTTTCGAGATGTGTACAAAAAAGTTAGTAAGGGGCGGGGCCATGCCCACTTTTCCAAAAGCATTACGTAAAAATATGCCCCTCACTAATGCGATCCTTTGTGCAAAATGTCATTTTAATATCTTTATTTATGGCTTAGTTATGACTCTTTATAGGTTTTCGGTTTCCGCCATTTTGTGGGCGTGGCAGTGGCCCGATTTTGCCCATCTTCGAACTTAACCTTCTTATGGAGCCAAGAAATACATGTACAAGTTTCATCATGATATCTCAATTTTTACTCACCCTGACCACTTTGGTATATATAACCCTATATCTGACTCTTTTAGTTTTAGGACTTACAAACAACCATTATGTGAACAAAACTATAATACTCTCTTTAGCAACTTTGTTGCGAGAGTATAAAAATTGAGAAAACCTCACATCTATATATTTATATGTATAAAAGAAAGTCGTGTTAATTATACCATTTATAACTGAACTTTGGTTTGGAGGTGGCTTTGAACCAGGGTACGGACATAGGACATACATTGTTCAAAATTCAAGTAAAAATTATTTGAAACTTTTAGTAATTCAAAAATAAAGAAATTATTAAAAATTTGCATATCCATACATGCTAATATTATGAGTCATAATGATTTTGCTCCTAAACCTGGAAGTTTTTTTGAGGACGAACCCGTCAGATATATTTAATATCGCAAGAAAAAATGCCATTGACATTTTCATTGCGGATACTTTGCTAGATTATAGGCGAAGTACGCAAATGCATTCATAACAAACCAAACGCGATATCTACCATAAAAATAAAGCGATATAACTGGAGTGTTGATATAAAGGTCTATTATATATTAATTTGAAATATTTTCGAAGCATTGCACAGGGCAGTGCAATATTTAAACGGGATCGATGAAGTATGTGTATACTTTCAAACTGATCCTTCCTAAAAAATAATAAAATTGCTAAACATTGCATCCCAAAAGACTGCAGGTTTTTCTTTAGAATTATCATAAGAAATTGTTCTATTTATGATTTTATTTGAGACGATTGTTGTTTTTGTAGAACAATGTTTGTAGTTTTTGCGGGTGACATTTTTATATGTGGACTAGCAGCCCGTCCCGGCTTCGCATGCGAGCATGCATACATACATATGTGTACACATGTGAATATGTCACCAACAAAAAATTGAAGCATTGTTCTACAAAAACAACACTTGCTTAAATAGCAGAAGCATCAAAAGTCAACTTGGCAGCCGAATTGGCGAAGCCCAAATGTAGTAACTTTACAACAAAAACAATTTCATTCATAAACGCAGGCGCAAATTCTACAAGCGATCTCGCTTCATTCATAAAAACAGACGCCGTAACATCTCCCCTGCCTGCATGCCTTTGCCTACAAGCGTCTTTTCGCCACGATGGCAAAAGTTAAAAATCATAAATTGAACAACTTTCTGATGCTTCTTCACAGAAAGAAGTCAGAAAAGTGGCAACAACGGAGTTGTTGACTTATAATATTTGTCCATTCTAAAATATTTTTCCGTGACTCGCAAAAATCTGCGGTGATATGATGCAAGCTCATACAAGTTATCGGGCTTTTTGCTAGAGCTCCGAAAAAAAGTGGTTTTATTTTATTTGGGTCCGAATGACCTTCTTTATTGAACTTTAAATTGCAACAGACTTACATATTCTTTCTTAAGCTAAAAATAACCTTAATCGACCTGTCCCGTAACTTGTTAGTTCTGTGGAATTGCACCTTTGCGGCTCGTGGCAGATGTTCGCTTCCTATTGTTGAAGAAAATATTACTGTCAGCTATAACTTTATTTCTGATTGCGAAATATTAGCTCAGCTATATTTGTTATTAAAATATTGGCGTCAGCTATAATTATGAATATGTTTCATGTTAACAAA